CCTGACTTTATTATTTTTTCCTCAAAATTTTCTCTTGCTGTCTTTTACTTTTCTTGCACTATTTCTTTTCTAAATGTTTTTATTTCTCTCTAAAATTTAGCTTTCAAAAGTTTATTTACATCTCTCTAAAACTTGTATTTTCATAGTCTCTACAAGACAAAAATTTTCGCACGGTCGGGTCCCAAAGATAGGAAATGCATGTCCCGACCCTGTCTCCGTCCCTGATTCCATTTTTTTAAATAATTAATATATATTTATTACACTTTTTTCATACTTAAATTCTAAAAATAATTTTAAAAAACTATAAAACCGATAATTTTTCTCGAGAACATGTCTCGGACCCAAGAACGAGGTGGAGACGGAGACTAAAAATTTTTACGAGCACGAATGGGGAGAGCATCCTCTCTCGCATTCACACAATTGTCATCTCTACTCTACATAAAATTTTCTCTCTGTATTTTCAATTTTCTAACTTTTTAAAAACAAAAAACTAAAAATGGTTACCAAACATATTTTAGTTTTTTATTTTTAAAAAACAAAAAACAAAAAATATTATCAAATGGTTTTTGTTTTTTAAAATAGAAAACTAGGAACCAAAAACTAAAAACAAGAAAAACCAAAAACCAAAATATTTACGGCCCTAACTTTTAGTTTTGTGTTTAATACATTTCTATTACTAACTTCATTAACCCAGTCAAACGTTTGGACTTGCCCGAAATCAACCAACAATATATTGGAATTTTTCAATAATATGGGACCACACATATATAAAATATTTAAAAATATAAATATAAAAAATAGAGATTCGGATAGTTATTAATCAAATAGTATTTCAGTACGTAATACGTTTATCTTTCATCTTTTCTGGAGTTTCGATGGAAGGATTCATTCATTTCTTTACTAATGCAACGTAGTCAACTCCATTTGTTAGAACAGCTAAAATATATAGATACCACAAAAAATAGTTTTAAAATTGATGAGGGGTCAAATTGGAAATATTTAAAACTTTGTAATCGACCGTAATTATTTGGTTGGTCACAGATGAGTTATGGTGTCCAAGTCAGAAAGATCACGATCCTTCTTTTTCATCCCTTGAGAGAGAGAGTTAAGGAGAATATCTTCTTATTCGTACTGTGGACAGGCTAATTTGTGACCACTCAATAACGTTTAATTATGGATCAAGGTATGTTTCCGCTTCATTGGTATTAATTCTCTAGAATTGAAATGGGAACTCGATCTATGGATTTGAAGTTTTGGATTTTAATTTTCCCAACATAATTTGCATATCACATAAACATGATTGAAAATTCATAGATTTACCATAAACTTTTCGAAGTCGCTTATGATTTACCCGATTTATATTTTAAGTAAAAAACAAAAATGGCGAAAGAAAGAACAATAAATTTTATTGACCAAAAAGAAAAATTGAAAAGGACTGGATGGAAGTAAAAGGACAGCCAATTGATCGTCTAAAGATATGAAATGAAGGCGTAACCGCAGCTTATTTACTCAGCCATGGTCGTCCCAATGAAACTTTCTTTTATTGTACTCTCTTCTTTCTTAAATAATATGTCTTCCAATAATACCTAAATGTCCTCCAAATTCTACCCCACAGACTATTCATATCATACGAGAGCTTGTGTCCTTTCACGAACAACCGTTTTCAAATATTATTACAGTTTGGATAGAGAAGTGGAGATTCGAACCTATAACTTATAAAAGAGATCTCTAATGCCTTGATTAGTTGAATTATGTCATTCAAGTTGGAATTACGTTGCTAGATCACTTTCGATTACATCTAGTTAACTGTCAAATCACTTTCGATTAATCTTATTTTAATTTAGAATTAAACTTGCTAGTAGGATAATAAAATTTTCATCGAGATATCAACATTCTATACATCCATGAATTCAACACCGACGTGAGAAATGAATTGACATTTTCATAATACCGTAAAAAGATCGTAAAACAACTATATTGTAATAGGATCATAATATATATCAACAAAATATCATTAATAGGGACATAATATTGATATTAAAAAATATAAAAGGATAAAATATTTAGTCAGAATTTTTTTATTTTTATACTTTTTTAGAAATATTCGTCTACATTCATATTTTCTGTATTTAAAAATAATTTTCGAAACCATTGTTAGTAAAAAAATTAGCGATGAAAATTAAACATCTTTATCTAAACAAATAGAATAATTACATTTGAAAAAAGCATAATTTTTGTCCCCCTTTAATGGAAACCTTATTGATTATGTCTCCATTTATAGCATCTTAGTACTCTTTTTAATCATAAATCTTGACAAAGAAAAAAAAAAGGAACTCATAACTTTATTCGATGTGGTACAAATTTATCATTTTATATTTCTAATGTCTTCTTTTTGGTTATATAAAAATTGAGATTTAAATATTGTTTTCATCTCTGTTTTATAACCATCATGTTTTTAATTTCCTATTTTGATTTATCATGATGTTTCTTTTTCTTATGTATAATTTTTAATTTGAGCATATTTTTTAACTAGTGAGTTTAGCATAATTTATAATTCACTTTCTTTCTAAGAAAAAAAAAAACTATTTTATTCTTAAAATAGTTTCTACAAAATGGTTTTAATTAAAATACTGATGTGATATGTTTAGTTACATATTGTTTCTTAAAAAATATTTTAACCACAAATTTGTTTTTTTGCGCTACATCTAAAAGTATTTACCTACAAATTTTAAAATTATACAGTAATTTCTCGTCAATTACTTTAGAATCAATTTTTGGAGAATCAATTTAAAGTGATTCTTCAAAAAATGATTATAAATTAATTTTATTATCAAAGTTATTTTTATTTATTACAAACGCTCTTGAATCTAGAATTTTAAAATATATTTTTTGTCCTCCAAAATCACCAAAGAAGTTAATCCAAACACATGGTTAACTTTTCAATTTATTCCTTCAAACTTCTATTAAACTTTATATTTTATCATCTATTGTGATGCATTACTAATGTCATGAAGCCATGGTTAGACATATCCCATATGAGCATAGATTAATCTTAAAAAAAAAATAAAAAATCAACAACCCATAAACATAGATCAATTGACTAAGACATTATATATTTGTTTTAAAAGTAAAATGTTTGATTCTTCATCCCTATATTGAACTATGTATATGTACATGTCATATCACGTCAAGTTAATTAATATTTATCTAACAGGTATATCATGTCAACATTTTATTAATACCGGCAGCAGAAACATTGTTCTATCTTTAGGAACATAATTGATATTTCTTTAATTTACAGATTAAATAAATGTAATCCTCAAAATAAGACGCTGTAAATTTTCATCATCGAGAGAGGAAAGACTACAAAAACAGTTGATTTTTCGTTCCTTTTGAATTGTTTGAAAATTGTGGCTCCAGATTTTCAACATCCTTTTTTTTCTTTTTCAATTCAAAGATTTTGAAAATTTCTCTCGTCCAATTAAAAATAAAAGTAAAATACTTTTTATTTTGTTTTTACGAGGTTAAAATATCATATTTATCTATATAAACTTTTATAATTCCTCCACTTTGATGCAAGTATTTCCAGAACATTTATAGCAGCTCTTGATAAAAATAAATAAATGGCTCTTCTAATTAATTAGAAAAGTAATAACAATCACCAAAACAAAACTTTTTAAAAATTTTTTAAGGTTAAAATAAATATTTAGAAAAATTAAGACTTCTTGATATTTCCAAGGTTGAAAGACTATTGATGAAATAAACTTAAAAGTTTATGAATTAAAATAAGGTTATGAATGTTTTAAAACAAGGCTCGAACCTATTTTTATTAACAATATTTGATGGATTAAGAACACAGTTTTAAATATCGATTTCGATAGAAATATCGATAAAATGTCGATGTCCGTAAAAATTGTAGAAATAAAAATATTCGTAGCGAATATTTAAATTAACAAATAAACATTTTATCATTTTTTAGAAAGTTAAAAATTATTAATATTAATATTACATGCATGCTTAATAACAAAAATCGATCGTCTTGCACAACATAAATCACATAGAGGAAAAGGCTTCGACACTTAGAGTCAGTCACAATGTGGTCACTTAGAGAGAGGTATAGTACAGAGTACTTGAGAAGTAGAGTGAGACCTCTTGTTTATAAGCTTTGGTTCGAGTCCTGCTCAACGATTACAACCGTTTCATATTTTGCAACGTGTTGTTGGAAAAGTGGTTAACATCAATAGAGAGACATGAAGTTGTGATCGTCAACTCTTCTTTTACCAAAATCGACCGTTAAGATCCATATCAGCCAGTTTGACAGACACGTACGGCCATCTGATATATCTGTCGGCTGAGCCAAGAGAGCTAACAACGTATAATTCATTGGCAAGTTGTATTTGTTAAATCAACTCTAACAATTCAGACTAGCGATTGTTGTTTTTTTTTATATTTATCGATCTTTTTCCAATAGGATGAGAATGTGGATTTACCTTCCTAATTAAAAGAGTAATAATATAACATGGTTTTCTAATTTAATGTGATTTGAAGTAAACAAATGAATATACGTATGGTCTATGGAATTGGTTTTATGTTATCCAATTTTACAGTAAAGCACTGACCAATAGACGAAGTACGTGTCCTACATCAATGTACTGGAAGCACCGTCCGAGTGACTGCACATTAATAATGCGCAACCCCAAAACTTTGTTTGGACTTTTCGAGAGATTTACTATTTTGCCACGGCTGCTGATGATGGTTTTTCGAGATTCCCGGGACAAGAGGGGTCATCAAACAGTCCATACCAATCAAGGGTATTCTTGTAAGTTCACCGTAATTGACTCCCCATGAATGGGAAACCTCCACGTGTCCTCCTCTTGGGATGATATCTTCAGCCTCCACGTCGTCAATCTGCAATTATCAAAAATTAAAAATAACCTACGCCATGCGGTTAATGACGTGGCTAGCCGGTCCTCGTCAGCAATCTCCAATTGCTATAAAGAAGTCCAGCCCCAATTTTGTCCACTCCACACTCCGCCTTCGAGAACCACAAATCCCTGCTACTTTCTATATCCGTACTCATCTTCACCGGCGACGGCCATCGGGCCGGAGAAATGAATATTCCGGCCACGGATTCGTCCACATCCGCGCGCACTCTTCGAATCTCCGATCATCGCCGTCATGTATTTCACGAAAAGCTCTGATTCAAAATCCAAATTTCTCGTTCGCTTAGTCACGAAGTTATCCGCGCCAGTTCCATGGAAATCCGGGGAAAGGTATCCATTTCTAGCATCCCTCTCGGTTCTCGGGGAAACTTTTGGTATATTCTGACTTCTTAGGGTTTTTTCTATATCTTTAATTTGAGTGGTTGGTGGAGGGGAATGAATTTTGAAGAACTGCAGGCATTGATTTCTTGCTTTCAATTACTCTGATTGTTCATCAATTTGTGTAATCTTTCCTTTTTCCCCTTGATTTTGGAGTGGGGGCCGAATCCGAATGCATAAGAAGGAAACTGGAAGCATCGGTTTCGGGTTCATCTACTACGATTTTATTTACTCGGAGCCTGTGAATTAATTATGAATCGGTGTTTATTAATTGGTTCTGAGAATGGAGCAGAGATGACGAGGGTGGGTAATTACTGCATCAAATAGAGAGCCTCAGGGTTTTAGAGTTCAGATTAGGCATAAAAACCTATTTAATTTAATTCATTACTTTNTTTTACTATTCATGTTCTATAAACCTGTTTGTACCTTCGTTTTCCTCTGTCGTCTTTGTCTTCATTTTTGATTGCTTGGTCTTCAGATGAAGATCCAACCCATCAATATTGATCCTCCAACTGGAAGAGTAGCCATTCGTACTGATCCCGGCAAACCGGTGCTAAAATCGCGTCTGAGAAAGCTCTTTGATCGGCCATTTCCGAATGTTCTAAAGAATTCTTCAGCCGAAAAGCCCATCGCGGCTGGGGAGGCCGCCGCCGCCGCCGCACAGTTCATCAACAAAGATGGAGTGGCTGAGTTCGAGCCGAGCTCCATTTGCTTGGCTAAAATGGTGCAGAGTTTTATAGAGGAGAGCAACGAGAAGCAGTCGTCAGTGGCCGCAGTTGTAAAAAATGGTCGCAACCGCTGCAATTGCTTCAACGGGAACAATAATGACAGTTCCGACGACGAGTCCGATGAATTAGGCGGTGGTTTTGGTGAATCTGTAACCATCGGATCATCTGGTGCCGATGTTCCCGACTTACTCAAGGTAATTGCCGCTTCAATTTTTCTCTGCAAATTAGCGCTCAGCTTCTGAAACTAAAATTGATCCAAATCCATTTTGGGAATATCAGAGTCTGATTCTTTGCGCCAGTGTAACGGAGAGAAACCTCTTAGCTGACACCGCAAAGATCGTTGAGAAGAACAACAAAATTCAAAAAAGGAAGGATGATCTGAGAAAAATTGTAACGGATGGTCTTTCATCCCTCGGCTACGATTCTTCAATCTGTAAATCAAAATGGGACAAATCTCCTTCTTTTCCTGCAGGTACTCCATTGCCCTCTTCTACAGATCAAACAAACAAATAAACACCTCCATTATATTCCGGATTCAACTGAAATCTTTGAAAAGTAAAATTTAGGTTTCTTTTTTTCGTGTAGGGGAATATGAATACATCGATGTGATGTTCGAGGGCGAGAGATTCCTGATAGACATAGATTTCAGATCTGAGTTTGAAATCGCTCGATCGACCGGAATGTACAAGGCGATCCTCCAATTGCTCCCGAATATTTTCGTCGGCAAACCAGATCGGCTCGGTCAAATCGTCTCGATCGTATCTGAGGCCGCGAGACAGAGCCTGAAGAAGAAGGGGATGCACTTCCCGCCCTGGAGAAAAGCCGAATACATGAGAGCCAAATGGCTTTCCGCTCACATCAGATCCAAACCTCCAAATCCATCCCTGAAAGAGATCAAAATCACGGACAAGAATCAAATCGATGACGAACAATCGCCGACGGAGACAGATTGCGGAGAATTCGAATTGATTTTCGGCGACGAAACCACGACCACCACATCACCGGAGTCCGATTCAATCGATTCATCTCCTCCGCTGCAGAAATCTTCGAATACCATCATTAAGGCGGCGGCGGCGGTGACAGCGACGACCTGGCAACCTCCGGCGATCAAACCGAAGAGTCTCGATAGAGGAGCGAAGATCGTAACCGGATTGGCATCAATCCTCAAAGAGAATCCGTAAAAAATAATAATAATAATAAATAAAGAAAAAAGTTTTGGGTACTGAAAATCTCAATATCGTAAACAAAAGTAAAAATAGATAATTTAGGGGGTAAATAGGTAAATATAAGGAAACGTATGTGCTTTTGTTTAATCGAGGGAAGAAAAAAAAAAGAAAAGGAAAATCCTTCAGTTTTTGGTTGCAAGGGTATTCTACTCTGTAATGGGCAGCAAAGTTGCTTACCCAATCGTCTGTGTAAAAAATAAAAGAAAAATATTATCGAATTTTGCAATAGTAATTTTTATGTTTTTTACAAGTTTCGAGTTAAATTTTGAATTTCAAAAAAAAAAATCATTATTAACATTATTTCTACTATGTTTATTGAATTTCTTTTCAATTTTATTTTATTCATGGATAACTGGATAAGGATGATCCCTTATAATATATGTACTTTTTTTTATATATAATTTAATAAATTTCTGTGGAAGGCTTTAAATTGGAGATAGCTGCTTCCTGAGAGGAAACAGTCGGAGGACTTAAAAATCTGCATTTTATATAACATTTTACTCTTTTTTTTTTTCTTTTGAGTAAAATATTTATATATAAAAATTAAAAATATCTCGTCTTTTGAGATTTGAGGACTTTTCTTTTACTTTTTAATTTCGAAATTTCATTTTATTTTATTCGTTATCTTTTCGGGTGAGAACCTCGTGGGATATCGGTCGCCGGAAGACGGAAGAAGACAAAATCTGAATTATAAAATTAGAAAGTTTTAGTTTTAGACTTTTTTTAATATCTTATTTATGAAAACAATGTTTACTGATTTCTATGTAAATTCACTTTTGGAAAATACTAAATAGTTTTCTTCATTATTTTTATTGAGTAAATGAAGGAAAAAAAATGATGTAAAGCTAATTAAGATTAGAGGAAGAAAATCTATTGTGTGATAGAAATTTGATATATATTTTTTGATCCATAGTTCCATACTTGTACGATTATATTTTTATATAAAATTTATCACTGCGACACCTAGATTATTTTAATTATATAATACAGTTTAATGTGTAATATGCATATCATAAATTAATCTTTAAAAAGCAGTACATCATTATTTAAAGTTTGATGGTTTTTCGAGAAACCAATTCAACTGTTTGTCATAGAGAATATGGTTTTGGCTATTTTTAAATAAATATTGATGGGTCCATTAAATATTCTCATGATTTATTTTATTATTATTATTATTATTATTATTTTCCGTTGTTGCCATTTGAAAATATTATATTATAAATTACAAAGTTATGGATGGTACTAGCCAAATAATCATTGACACAATCAAGAATAATTAATTAATTGTTGCTTAAGTCATGAAAATCAACTTAAACAGAGCTAAATGGATAAATCATCAAGAAAAAAACGAAACCTCAAGACATGAAAAGATGAGTTTTTTTTAAATAATGTATATTTTCTTTAAAAAAAATTACAAGAGTGAGGATTCGAGATTCTTTTGAACAAGGTTCCAAAACTTTCCAAGAAAAAATTGTCAATGCTTAAGTTCATTGCCCTCATAGTCATAGTCGATATTATTTTTCTGGCTAGGTTTGATGGGGCAAAAAATGTAGTCATGGTCAACTCATGGATCGACTTATTTCACCACATGTCACACCTTCTCGTGTACTATTCAACGGAGTCAATAATTTAGTATTTAAGGAATATCGCATATTATGTATACGGTATATTTCATTGCAGATTAACTTCTCCTTCACACCTCAAATCATAAATGACACTCTTAAATTGCATGGGAAGTACACAATTTTTGATTTGACAGCAAACTACTTTATCTTTGTCAATAATTCGTATATATACCCTAATTTTAGAATTTTTATTTAATTTATATATATTTTTAATTATTACTTTGGGAAGCTCCTATATCTTTTGTAATTTTTATTTTAAATAACATTATATATGAAATTTTCTGCTCATTAAATATTTAAATCTTTGCTTGGTAAGTACATCAATTTATTTTCTCATTTATTTTATTAATATTTTACCAAATAAATTATCAATTTTGAATATCGTTTTCAATCTTGTTTTTCTTTTATTGATTAAGGTCAAATAAATGGTAGAGTTGAATAGTTCTTCTCCTTGACTTTAGGTTCATGCTGATTAAGCTTGATTATAGAGTATCCATCGTCAAGTCAATTAAAAATGGATCGGTAGAAATGTTAATCCAAAATTGAATTTAAAAATTTATATTTTTTTTAAACAATTGTGTATTTTAAGCATATTTTTGGTCAAAACAATTGATCACAAATTGTGATTGAATAATCATTCATAGGAGGACAACGGTATTAAAATTATAATAATTTTCAAGCCTCCATCAAATAATTTGAGGATAGAAAGCGAGCATAGTTCAGTGGTAATTGACATATACCTCTAATTAAGATGTTGTGAGTTCGAATCCCCTCCTAACATGTTGTACTCGAAATAAATAAATAAATAATTTGAGGATAGAAAATTGAGGTGCCTAGATACCTAATTTGTTTACTATTATTTGATGGGTTCTATTTTTTTCAAAGAACTTTTCTTTTTTCTTTTCATTAAAATGAAGAATATTAATTTATATTTTAGAAAATTTTGTAAGATGAAGATATCTTACAGACACTTATACCATATTTAACTCATAGTTTTAATAACTTGAAATTATGTTGAACAAGTTTGGAAAGTTAAGTATTTTTTTTAGAAGTATCACAATTTATATAGTCAATAAAATTAATAAATATGTAGTTTGAGTTAAAAAAAAAATTATATATTCGCACTCCCAGCTATGAAAGTTTTAGAAATGTTCTTTTAAACTCTATATTCTTATCATTTTTCAATAATTTTTCCCAAAGGAATAAAATTTAATTACAAATCCAATAAATTATAATATTGAAAGATTCAATAAAAATATAGTATAGTACCCTTTGCATTATTGGAGAATAATTTAGATGATGAATATATCTTGTTCTGTGTATGAACCTATTTATCCTTACAATTTAATAAATTAGTATATCATTTTCTATTAGTTAAATTTATAAATAAATAAAATTTAAATGATGAGTAATATAGACACCTTAAAATTATAATATTTTTACATAACTCTCATTTTTTTAGTCAACTATTTAGAGTTATGAAAAAATATTAATGATAATTCAATTGAGAAGAGAAAAGTGATCCGTGCATCCAATATTTAGAGATTGAAATAATATTTTAATTGATGATTATTTGATAAAATTTAAGATTATAGATTTTTTTTTCCTTTTTTTTATTGGAATATTTGAGAGGTTAATTTATCAGTGAAGAATCAATGTTTTGTGTAGCTATAAGATTGCCGATGAAGATTTAATTTATACAATTTAGTGCAAATTAAAATTTAAGGTGGAGATTAATTAATTATTGAAATAGAAAAATAGCAATGAGATACTTGATTTTGAGATCCACCATTTATAACCAAGCTTTTGAAATAAAATATGGTTGAGTTCGAATTAAGTTGTTAAACATAAAAATACAACTTTGATTGGGAATTTGATTTCTTTAGAAAAAAAAAAAAAGGTATGATAACTAGTTTTTCAGTGTTTAATTTTTTAATTTTTATTTTTTTTGAACATGAATGAGTATGTACATAGTACATAATACTTTTAGTTATTATATATTAAATATGAACATAAAATTAGAAATCTATTCAAACATTTCAAAAGCAATTTATATAAACCCACTCATCAAAACCAGTTTTTAAACCATTAGAAAAGAAGAAAATGTCAAGGACAACGATAGCCCAAGTATTTTTGTATGATATTATCCGCTTTGGATATAGCCCTCATGACTTTACTTTTGGTTCCATCCAAAAGATATTGTACCATGATCACCTCTTTCTCTAGTCAACGTGGAACTTTGTTTGCAATCACTTTACAAACCCAATAGAAAATACACTCACCTAAGCTCTAAGTTCCAAATCTCACATTTCCAATCAATTATATAATTTTTTTTTCATTACTAATTAAGGAAGAAGATAAACGAGAGAGGGAAAAAATCATACATTTTTCGATATCACCAAATATATTACAACAAACATGCGACTTTTTGGTCAGGGTATATACCTTAACCAGTTGAGCTATACTCTGACAACTTCACAAAAATTTCAACTTAATTAAGATGTTGATATTTGTTAAAATACAAATCATGGGAATAAGGTTACATAATGTGTCTTGTTAAGCAAAGAGAACGAAAGTCAACATGAACGTAACACAATTGGTTAAGACATATATTCTCGACTAAAAGATCGGAGGTTCAAATCCTCACCCCACGTGTTGGATTTAAAAAAAAAAACAGTGAAAAATGCAAATACCAAATTTTTTTTATAGAAAATTATAAAATATTGAACTGTATTTATTTCCCTTTCATACCTTTGGTTATTTAAAAGTGATAGTCACATCATCACAATGGTTCAACAAATACAAGTGTCGCCAACATAAGTTTAGTCAAACGATAATTGACACCCGTTTTTAATCAGAGGCCATGAGTTCAAATCTCCCGCTCTATTTGTTTATTAAAAAAAAAAAGTGGGAGATTGAATCTCAGACATTTGAAAAAATAATAAGTGTTTTATTACCGAGTTAATGCTCGAATCAACCTATAATAAACAAAAAGTCCTATGAGGAGTGAAAAAAATGGTGAGAAATGGATTTTGAAGGAAATTGAGCTATTAAAATTCATAAACTAAATGAGAAATGAGATTCCACTAGTTTTACTATAAAAAAAATCCTTCAATTTCAAGTTAAAAAGTAAATAAATAAATAAAACAAAATTCTTTCCTTGAATTTCAAATTTTCAAATGCAGCTTCTAGAAAATTTTCTATATCCCACCCACAGTTTTAAGGGTTTTTCTTTCTTTTCTTTCCTTTTTACTTATTTTTAGAAAGGTTGGATGACCCTTTTTCAAAGGATGAAAGTGAGCACTCACTCTAAGATTCTTTTAATTTTTTTTTTTCCGTGGAGAAAAAATTTTTCTACTGTAAGCTATTGGAAAAATTACTCAATTACCCTTAATTTAATTTATTGAAACTATGGTGTTATTGTAAAAAATAAAAATAAAAATGGGGTTGATTTCAAAATTACTCTACATTTAGACTAACTTATTTCTTATATTACTTTTAGTTGTTCCAGAGAGACGAGATATCTATCTTTATTTATTTTTGTTAAAATATTTTAAATTTTATATTCATTTGTTAAAAGTACATTAAAAATAACAAAAAAAAAATCTTATAGAACTAGATCTCGAGAAAAATAAAGAAAGAAATTTTATGACCCAAGTTAAGGGTATTGCATTTTTGTCTTCCACTAAGAAAAAGATGATTACTTTTTTCTTTTCACTTGGTGTTTTACTAGATCTAAAGAAATAATAATTTTCTCCAACAACAAGAAATTAACAAAAATAAAATAAACTCATAAACGAATATTAGTATAACTTAGTAGTTAGAGACACCTACACCTTTAAATTGAAGGTTCAAACATCCGATCCGATCCTACATTTGTTGAACTTAGACAGGGCAACTTTTACCCCCAACTCTGAATAAATATATATTATTTGATATATATATTTATATGTACGTATATTTAGTACAAACAAAAGAGAGAAAAATAAAACCAGTTTTATAAAGTTGCTCCTCATGGCAGGAAGATCATTAGATAAGTTCGAAGAGCACCAAGAGAGATGTCTTTAAAGCAAAATTTCTAAGTGATTTCTCTTTGCATGTACTACTAAAGTACTGGCTTCGTGTTTCATTTTCGAAAATTGATAGGATCTTCCATATAGTTCTGTAGAAAACTTCTTCATTTCTACTTTACCACATCACGAATATCTCATTAATTTCTCAAGATCCTCTTTTATGACCATCTCATTCTAATACATTTTATTTTGTTGTATAGTTTGACTTTCTTAAAAATAATTTTTCTGGGCACTATTGGCAGATCCAAATACCAATAATTGCACAGTTAAGAGTAGCTGTCAAAAGATTACAGGAATTCACATAACATAGTCACAGGCCAAACAGAAACCATATCCAGACAACAAAAACTCTCTTTTTTATTGTCAACAATCATATTTTTCTTTCTAGTTCTTGATTTTTGATAAACAAATCTCATTTCATAAAACGTTTTATAAATTCGGCAACTTGGTTTCTTGTTGATGAGATCGTTGTTTCTAATAAATTCTAACTAATCTTTGAGAAGCATTAATGAGATAAACCACAAATTGAATGTACTGGCATTAAAATTAATTGCTTAATAAATTACCAAGCTTTAAAAAATGTTAAATAATAAATAGATCCATAAACTTTAAATGTTACCATTCTAAAAGTGCAAATCACTAATTATTCAATAACTTCTTCAACTTTCAGAAACGTAGATGCAAAGTTGAAAATTCAAAAATCTATTCATACAAACCTAAAAGTGAAAGTTGATTTGTTTTGATCATTCCTGCTGTCACCCCAAGTAAGAATACAAAATCGGAAAATTCAAAGTTCAGACTAATATAAAAAACCACTAAGATTGGTTCACTTTCATCTTGGAAGCTATTCTCAAACTATAACTTGAAACAGAGGTCATAATAACAAAATATATGCTAAAATATCATTTGATCTCCAAATAACATATGATATAATGTTCCAATCACATACCAAAAAGTTCATGTTTATAAAGAGAAACAGTATCACAGTGGATCATGGCATCACAGATCAAATTTTCCCATTATTACACAGCCATATCACCACAGTTAAAGCAGTATCTCTCATTGTTGAAAGGTTTTTTTTGTTTTTCAAAAGCACAACCATATTAAGGAAGACTGATACTCATGGCAGGGTTAAGCTTACCGAAGGCTGCCCCGACCGTTCTCGCTCCCTAATGTCGATTATTCCTCTATAAACAGATTACACGGCGATCCCACTGCTACAGACCACACAAAGCATCAACGAATATTGTTCTTGCGGGCCAATTCACGCGCCATCTCTCTTACTTCTTCCGGGGACGGAGGCCTTGGTCCCTCGGGAGGATACACTATATAAGACTGTGTCCATAATGACATAAGAAAGAAGTATCTTTGCACTCAGACAGTATTGATATTGCTTATGAAGATCAATAAGAACATGACATTGTATTAAAGGTTTTACAACCTCCTCAAACTGCTGACAGAGAAAACTCTACTCTGTTGTAAACAGATAAAACAGGATCTTGACTTTACAAAATGAAATGTAGTTCAATGCACAAGTATGAAACAAATAAAATTAGTGCTAATTCATTCTACCTGGAAAATATCAAACATGGTCATCATTTATCAACTTTCAATCTAACACTTAGAATCAAAATTTCCCACTCTCAGTATCAGCATCATGGGAAATTTGCCTTTCTTCTTCAGAAATTAATCTGCTAGGGTACCCAAAAACACAAATTTCCTATGGGCAAAGTCCTAGAGGTAAAAAATTGCTAAAAAGAAAAGGAATTGAACTACCCACAGATCATCTTGAGAGTAATTAAAGAACACCTCCGCACAAAAAAAGAAAAGAAAAAGGGAAAAATACTCGCTAATAATCAGACCCACAAACATGATTTAGTGATAGGAAAGGGGAAGAGAGAAATAGAGTTACCTTGCCAATGAATCTCTGGAGATTTTTGCTATTGTTGGCGAAGGTGTACATAAGAAAGATGGGTATACTGACATAAAGCCCGAATTTGGCGATCTCGAGAATTCCCTTCGATGTTCCAATTGAAGACATTTTCCAGAAAAAAAAAAAAAAGAAAAAAAGAAAATTGCTGAAATCCCGAACCCTAGAAAATCCTGGCAAAAGGGCAAAGAGGCAGACAGGAAAAACAAAGAAATTATTCCACGAAGGAGGTTGAGGAAGCTCATTGCGCTTCGGCCCATATTCTACATTTATGGGCCTACGGAGGTCCTGAACCCAAGCCCAATTTGATTTAGGTCATCCGTTTGGATACAATGGGATTAGTATATTAATAGGCTATTTAGATACTATAATCATATAAAATGATTGAATGATATAAAATTTACACTTTTGTCATGAAATAATTTCATTTATAGAATAGCATATTTTGTCATCCAAGACACTATCTCTAAAATAATCAGTTATAGAATAGCATAATCGACGTAACAATTATTTTTTTCAGAAGTTTTAGGATGAAATTACRTATTTTTAAAATTTTAAAAATACAAAAATTGAAGGCTAAATATTTGGGTTTTTTTTATAAAAATTTTCCCTCTTCCCATTAGCCTCTATTGGTTTAAAATATTTCAATTTAATAATTTATATGTTAATATTTTTTTAATTATATACCTACTATAGACGAATGTTAAAATTAGTTTATGATAATTTATATAACATGATATTTAAAATTAGTTTATGATAATTTATATAACATGATACTTGATAAAATGACACGGATATGGAAGAGGAATTAAACTGCATAATAAAATAAAGTTCTTAATTCTACATTAAAAAAATCTGAAATTGTCGTGTCTTTTCTCTAAGTATTTATTAGTTATTAATATTTGAGTTTATTATCAACGTATTTTAATATTTATTGATAAAAATATATAATCGAAAATTTTTAAAACTTAACTAAGAACCTTTTAAATATTAAGGATTAAATTGAAAAACCAACCGAACATTCTAAATAAAATATATATTTAGACAGAATTAAGGGAATATTCCTAGTGTTTCTCCCACCGAACCAAAATTTTCCAATAAATAGAATGCGTGGTCCGCTTCTCACTCTGTTTGGTCACAATTTGGGCCCCACGTTGCGAGACAGGTGAACTGTATCTCCACGTGGCATCTTCTACGCCGCCAAAATGATCAAATCACGCGACTGCTTACGCCAGATCATCAGACAAATGCCAGCCAGCAGCAGCCATGTCATTCACCGGCTCCAAAAATTTCCGACCGTTGCTACACTTCAGATTACGATTTTGCCCCTCGATAAAATTTTTATTATTACGAATCACAGTGCTCGTGAACTTTGACTTGGGAGACAAATGTCAAAACGACTTTTTTAAAAAGCCGGTGACAGCTCGGGGATAGCGAGGTAGTCCGTTTGTTTCAGGAAAACGGCGGCTGGCTTTGACTTTTATGATTGCTTCTCTCACGGTGGTATTATTATTATTATTTTTAAATGAAAATTTAAAAAAAAAAATTCCAACTTACAGCTCTTTTATCAAATATATTATATTTTAATTTGAACTATATTCAAATTAGCATATCTAATTCGATTCAACTAAAAAATTAAGATATTTTAACTATTTCTCTCGAAATCTGAGGTTTAATTTCTACAGTCCCCCGTCCTTATCATTATTGTACTGAAAAAAGTTGACATATTTCATGGTATTATTTGAAGTTTTTTCATATTAATTTATTGCTTTGATCTCAAAAATATATCTTTTTTAATTTATTGCTTGGTAATATGAATTAATCATTTTTCCTTATTTAATTTCCCAAATAAATAATATGTGATTTTTGTAAGGAAAAAACATCATTTTCACCCGGTTTTTCTGTAATAGTATTAGTAAGCCATTTGCTATAAATACATATATTCATAGTAGATATTTTTACTGTTATGGTCATAAAATTGATGGGGTGAATTCTCTGTTTCCCTATAGGTATATTATATCAATAATTATTAAGTTAAATTATAAATTTGATATTTTGATTTACGTTTAATAGGTCCATGAAAACTCAAAGATTGAAATTTTGTTTTATAGAATTTTGACCTTTTTATTTTGTGTGACCTGATTTTTATTTTATCTTTTTTAATGTTTTAATAAATTTGAGGTCTATTTAAATACAAAATTAAAAATTTATAGAAAACACATCACATGTCCATCTTTAGTTATTTCCTAATATTTTATAAACTTCTTTTCATTTTCATTAATTTATATTCGCATTCTCTCTCTCTCTCTCTCTCTCTCTCTCTCTCTCTCTCTCTCTCTCTCTCTCTCTCTTTTTTGAATCAGAAAAAAAAAAGTTAAAAACTCTTGGGATTAGAGTATATACATCAATCTATCTACCTTTACAACCTTAAAGCATATGGTGGGGTTTTCTTAATTTATATATATATAACTTCGGTGTAGGAAAGTATAAAATATTATCTAACAACGTCAAATCGACACAATTAATTTACAGGTTAAATTAGTTAATTATCATTAAATATATTATAAATACAAAACTTCGTGGGTCAAAGTTGGTTTACGATGGTTCATTAAGCATCTTGGGACCAAAATTAAAGCGATTAATTGGCTATTGATTGCCACTTAATTTACAAAATAAAGGAGATTCCTTGGAAATTATACTTTAATGTGTGTATTTGAAAAGTTTTAAAAATAAGAAGCTCATAAAGTTGGCTACTTTAATCAAAGTTTTTTCTTGTACACCATTTGCTCCACGAGAGACATGAGACATGGGATACGTGTAGAACCATGAATTTTGAAATAATTATTAACATTCACATCATTATCTATTTTATTTAGGAATTAATTATATATTAATTCTAAATTAAAATTAAAGATAAATTGACATTTAAAATATGTAGTTGGAGAACTGGACTTGGAATCAATTTGGTCTCAATTTATCCGGAGACGGATTAATATTTAAATTTAAATCAATTTAAAGAATTGGGCTTGGTCCAAAATTATCCGAGCTCGGCCCACCAAAGCATGTGGAAACTTCTAGAGGGGACCTCATTCATTTTGAAGGTTCAGAATTTCAGGATTGACAGAATTCATGCAAAATTGAATACTTTCTAAAAGACTCGAAAATTCGAAGACCAACTTGAAGACTTGAAGACTTGAAACTTTCGAAGAACATATAACGAAATTTCGTGTGAACAATATGTTTTATATAAATATTCTTTTTAAAAAGCCTTCTATTATTGAGATACTATATCCATATATTAATTAAATTTACTCCATTCATAAACTTAAGTTTTTTGGTTCAATGGTATTCTTAACATGGCGTCAGAGTATGAGGTCATATATTTGAACTCCTACATTATTATGAGTTGAGCGTTGAGCGTGGTTTATTATCATACTCAATAACTTATTGTATATTAAATTCATGTTTGCTTTGTGTAATGGAATTGGAATAATTGAAAATGATAACTTTATTTGTTTGGTACCTCAAACTTGGAATCATTCTCTTTAAAATGGTAATCCCAATAAGATGCAAAATATAATTCTATTATCTATATTTAGTTTGTATTTCATCAATAAATTATGTTTAAACATGTGAAATTAATAATAATTTAATATTTTATGGTAGATTGAAAATATTGAAGCAGAATAATTTAAAATCATAATTATAGAGAAAAATTCGAACTTCCTAAAAGAGCTAACAAATAAACAAAAAAAGTGCAATCACACCTTATTATGTCAGTTCTAATTATAGATTTTTAGGCTATTTTCTAAATAAAAATATATAATTAAATTGAGAAAGATGACAAAGTTTATTTTCCTAATTAGAATTTGTTTTATAAAATTATTCACTTTCGAATAGGATTTTCATATTGGTAGGTTCATTTTTTGTGGACTGTGGGATCATTTCAACTGTTACTTATTTTCTTTATATTTCCATATTTTCTATGATTAACTAAACTATTATTGATATTAGAGCAAAATATATTTTTGGTCGGTTTGAGGTAGGTGTCTACTTAGTCTTTGAAGTTTCAAAATGAACACTTTGACATAGATGTCTAATTGTTCCCTGAAGTTTCAAAATGAACACTTTTGGTTATTGAAGTTTAAAGTAGGTGTCAACTTAGTCCCTGAAGTTTTAAAATTTTGATAGTTGAAGTTTGATAAATAGTTCTAAATATTCCTTATTTCTTTAATGTTAATTAACTAATATTAAAATGACGTGACAAATTGCAATTAAATTATTTATTGTAGTTGCTCATGTAGCGAATTATATTAATTAAATGATATATGTCCACATATATTATTTAATTAATATAATTTGTCACATCAACAACTACAATAAATAATTTAATTATRCTTTGTCACGTSATTTTAATATTAGCTAATTAACTGTAAAAAAATCAATGACCATTTAGAATTATTTCTCAAACGGACCAAAAGTGTTTATTTTAAAACTTGAAAAACGTTGACACCTAATTTAAACCTCAATGACCAAATATGATCATTTTGAAACTTCAGGGATTAAGTAGACACATACCTCAAACCAAAAATATATTTTGCCCTTGATATTATATATTGTTAATTAGAAAATTTGGATCCATAATAATTCAAAATGTTTCGTTATTTGTTAAATAGAATTGGTCATTTCCTCGAGATTTTAATGTTGTTGATAAATTATATTATTAAAAAGTTTCTTTGTTGATAAGGGAAGTCTATTATCGAATAATAGAAAGAAAAATATAGGTTTTTTAATAATAAAAAAAAAGATAGGTTCTTAGAGCTTCCAACAAAAATAATCAAAAAGTGAATAAGTATAATTGACATATATCTCCCACCAAAATTGTAAGTTTGATATCCCACCCTACCTATTATACTAAAAAAAATCAAAATAACCAAAAAGGATAAAGAAAACTGTATTAATCAAACTATATTTTTTGGCTCGACYTTTTCCATTACATTTCTCAAGTAAAACCTCATCAATTTTATTCTTATTTCTTATTCTACAAGCCTCATATATTTTCAATAATTAATTTACAACATTTACTCTCTCGAAAYCATAATTTTATAATTAATTGTTTTACCATTTTACTCTTATTTATATTAATACTAATTTTTCTTATAATAAAAATTATACAACTTTTATTARCTGCTGTTGTTTTATAATAAAATATTAAACTTCCTATTAAATTTATTGACGATCTAATTTTACTTTGTTATTATCAATAAAACTGTTGTTAAAATAAAATTAATTCTTATTAAATATTATAACAATAGAATTTAATCATATTTTATATTAAGGATGTTTGTTATAATAAAAATGATTAATCTTTATTTTAATTATAATTTTTTCAATATTAAAAATTGTTAAAATAAAAAATTTATTATCAGTAAAATAGTAATAAAATAAATGAAAACTTAATATTATTTTAGTTTTAAAAAAATATCATCATAAGTTATAGAAATAAAAAAGAAAAATGATAGTAAACAACCTTACATAAATAAGGGTATGTTTTGTATGTAATTGGATTTTTTTGTGGTKGTTGTTTTCATACACTTAATCAAAATGAATTTRGGGAATATTGTTTGCCAGATTAATTTTTAAAAATTCCTTTTAAATTATATAATCTAAATAGTGAAAATTCTAAAAATAAAATGGTATGTTTTCAAATTTTGAATCTGAAACTTTGAAATCCAAAATCACATTTTTAAAAAAGACAAAACTTTGATAAATATAATAAACTAATTTCATTTTTGTTGAAATTAAAAAAAACGCAAAATATTATAAATTATATAATAGGGTAAAATAATAATTCTACAAAATTCATATAATATATATTAATAAATTAATTAAATATTATTTTTTATTCAACTAAATATTTGGTTCGTAACTACACTAGTTTTCAAATATATTATGAAATACCTTAATAATTTTTTAAATTGAAATTCAATTTTCAAATGTAATAATTTTTTAAATTGAGATTCAATTTTCGAATGTACTACTAAACACATTTCTCAAATCTGAAAACATGAAATACATCTCTAATTTTTTTTATTGAATCTTTTGTTTTCAAATTTTTGCAGACTAAACTCACTCTAACTTATTGGTTCCATTAATTAGATGAGTGGACGGGCCTAAATTAACAAATAATAATAAATACATAAGCCTAAATTAACAAATAATAATAAATACATAAGCCTAAATTAACAAATCTGCCCTTTGGCCACATGGCTTGTTGTGAGCGCCTACCACCTCGCCTGGGACAGTCTATATATAACAAAATTGATATACTTCAAAATAAATATAGATAAATCTAAAATAGAAAAGTATTTTGATGAAAATTTCCAAAAACAAATAAGTGAATTTAGAAATTTTGTGGGCGCATCATAAAATTTGTTAATTGGTGAGTAAGACAAAATTCATGCTTAATTTTGAACGACTTTAGTTAGGTAAGATGATATTCCACCTCGATGATATATATATATTAATTAGGTGAGTTAATATTTGATTAAATATAAATTTACATAAAACTTGATTTTCATAGAAATTAGTGAGTCCGACTTGCGACACTAATTTAGTTCTAGAGTTCAATTYGATGAAATTTAGAAATAAAAGTAGATTTTTTTTTCAGTAGGGTAAAATAAAATACTATTTTGGTCCTCGTAATTTTACTTTAAATTGTTTATTTTGACCCTTGTAAAATTTTAACACAAATTTTACACTAACGGATTTTTTTAATATAAAGTAATGTTTATATTTTAGTATTAGGTTGAAATTGTGATAGAAAAAAAAGGAGATTATGAATAAAATTATAGGACTAAAATAGCCATTTTTTAAAACTACAGAGATATAATAAACATTTTAAAAGTATAGAAACTAAAATGAATCAAAATCAAAAATACATTAACCAAAATCAATATTTTAAAAATACATGAACTAAAATAAAACAAAAAATCTAACCAAACAATACTTTGGGAAATGAAACGTGTCCCCACATTTTCTCGAAACTGAACCCGCAACGCGGAAYCGAAAAATAGGAAAAAAAAGGTCAATGATGGTAAAAAAACCAAAAGAGGGTATTTTGGGAATAAATGGAAAAAAGTCCTGAACCCTTGGAATTTTCTGAACCTCAACGAACTCTGAGAAAATGGGCCTATAAAACCTAACCCTCGAAAGTATAATAAATCGCCGTCCCGTGCACTGAACTCTCCGGTTTCGATTTCCGGCTACTTTCCCCGACCTTCTCGCCATGGAGCCCGGTGGTCCGCCCACCCCTCCGCCGCTTCCGCCGCCGCCCACCGGAGCCACCCTCCTCGGCAAGTACCAATTGGGACGTTTCCTCGGTCGCGGAAGCTTCGCGAAGGTCTACCAGGCTTGCTCCCTC